TAAAGTAATTTCTGGATAAGTTATTTGATAGGGTATTTACCGAGATGATTTATAAATTCTCATATAACTGATACTTCTCTGGGCTTATGCAGCTGTTAAAAGAGATCACTGAAACAGGAATTGCATATTGTTGCCTTAGCAACTGCCACTTCATATTATGCTTAAATCACTTGGAAATTTGCAGTGTATCTTAAGGAATTGCTTCCAACAAAACCAGCCAATCTTAAATAATTTTAAATAATTTCACTGAAGAAGCTGAAAGGATGGTCTTTCCTAACAAAGACCATCATATTTTTAAGCTTGGTAGCCTCACTTCACCACAGGCTTAGCTTGTTTAAAAAAAGCAATGTAAAATTTAAAGAACCCAAATGTGTTTACTCATGCCACCAGAACCCATGTGATTGCCAAACTGGCTGGAAGTTGCAAATATTTTTGAATGATTCCTCTAAACTCCATCTTCCGTTCTAGAAGATCACCATTAATAGTATAGTTTCCTATACTTATATTTTAAATGTCAAGTTTCCTTAAGGGCAGACTGTTTTTCTAGTTTTTTGTTTTGTTTGTGAACTGTTTTGGGTATGAAAGGAAGACCTTAAACCTTACCTAGTCAGACGTTTCTTGTTCCTGTTTTGAACTGAACTTTTCATTTAGACTTTTTCTGTGGATATTTGCCACAGTTTTATGGGGTTTGTTAGATCATCTGAAGAATGAGGCGAAAGGCTTTTGCTGGTATTACATTAAGGCAGTTGCTTGAGTGCTCATGCTACATGATAGTCTCAAATACCAGGTCTGCATAGAGTATTTTCTATTGCTATAGCAACTTCCCCAGCTTTGTGGTCACTACTCTGTGAGCTGTGTAACAATCAGAGCTGGATTTTGCACATGTGGAAACAGAGTTTCAGAAAGCACAAGGAAACAGCCAGAGTCCCTTAGCAACATTGTGCCGGATCCAGAATAAAACCCAATTCTGCCACCTCATCCAATTACTGCTTTAACCCAGGTTTACAACAGAAGGATCCAACAAGAGAGACTGCTTTAAGAAGCAATATGTATATCTCTCCCATTTCAGAAAACTTACTTTCCTTTTATAATATTGTACACAGTTAATAAAATTTAGAAAGCTAATATGACAGCGTTGTCAACATGCTACTTTTATTACCCCTTTTCTAGGCAATGAAAAGGAGAGACAAGCAAAATGCAGACTTACAGAATTTAAAAGGAATCAGATATTTTGAGGACCAGTTGTCATTTTTAGGTCACCGCTCACATCTCTGAATATAATTTTCATCTGAGCTGCATGGCAGGGTTTGTATGTGCTGGAAGAAGTTACGTTTTCACAGCAGGAGACCAAATCAAAATGAAGCAGTCAGATGCAGGTGCACAGTAATAGAAAGGATCTATTTACCCTGAAGCGTGAGCAATGGGCCAGGAAAGCAGAAGCAGTCTACTTCCATCTCTCGCCTTCTTCTCTCCCTACCTTTTCCCTCCCCCATAGCCGTGCCAACAAATCCGTAAGGGGACCAAAGAGAAGGTGTTCACTTGCTTTTAATGAGCTGCATTGCCTGCTGCTGAAGGTCTGAGGCACTTTTTTGTTGTGCTGATTGTGTACTATTAGAGCTGCCTGTCTTTAATTTATACCTAATCCTTCCTTCCTGCTTGCACAGCCTCAGGCCAGCCTAGAAAGTGGTTGAAAGCATTTGTCCTGTGGGCATCTGTTGCCTGTGTCCATTCTGAGTTCTTGAATGATGCTGTGGAAAGAGCAGTATTTCTGAAGCATGTGTGCCTAAAACAAACAAACAAACAAAAGCAGTTTCCATAGATATTATTTTATAAATCATACATTTTATGTAATCCGTTTAAAATAAAATTCCTGCAGCTTTGTTTAAAGATGGGCAGTTTAATAATGGTGGTTTGACAAAGTCAGCCTTATTGGTTGGCAGTGAAATGAGACACCTTGATGAGCTCTGGCTGCTTTTCACTTGGGCTTCTGGAGTTCTCTAGTTAAGAGCCAAGTACTTTCCTACGTGTGAAGATGACCACCCAGTGCTGTTTCCAAGGCTGCAAAAAAAACTGAGCAATGTAAGTAAGGGAAAAACACTGACTCATAGCAAGTACGAAATGGTCAAATTTAGCCGCACTGGACAGTCTGATACAGATAGTGGGACCAGTAATATCCACTATCTTTTAACACATTTATTTGTAGATCATACATAGCTCTGTGATCTGTGTAAGAGATTGAGAATTTTGTGTTCCTTGCTAATTAATGGCATTGTAGGACTGAGGCAGCATTGTCTAGGTTTGGGAGGAGGAATTACGAATACTTGAAATCCATGTGGTGAATGCTGCTGCTTAGTCTGCACCGCTGGTGTGGTCAGGTTCTCTGTTTCTTTCCTCAGGTGTAAAATGGGCCAGACCCATGCTGTAAAGATTAACCTGATCGATGCTTGTATGATGTAAAAGATACAGCACTCTAAATATTAATGTCACTCTGTTGCTGCATTTCTGTACAGGGTTATGCGCGAAACAACATAATAAAAAGGAGGCACCTATTCATCTGGAATTGGACAGCAGTGGTAGCATACGCCATAGTAAAGTGACAGCTGTCTATGCTGTAAGCTAGAAAAGTATTTTTATCTTGGCATAAAAATTGCCATGCTCAGGAGCAGAACTGTTTTAATGTTACTGTGTTGCAATCTCCACATTTTAAGACCCTCACAACTGTAGAAAAACTGAGATAAGTCCATTCTTTGTCTCCAGTACTACCTTTAGAAAGGGAGATATGTATACACCCTAAATGTTGGAGCAGCAGTGCTAAGTAGCAGAAAAAAAGCAGTACAAAGGAGAGTTTGGGAAGAGATGTGTTCTGGTATCACCAAAATGGGACCATGTCATAAGTTTCTACAAACTTTGTCCTTTTTACAGGGAGATTGTGGCACACTTAGACTTGTCTGTCAGGAGGAGAAAACACCTACAATGCGTAAATAGAAGGCTTAGAGAATGCTTAATTATAATTTTCAAGAATTTTGGGTTCTAATTACAGAAGGATTAATGTGATTCATAAAAAGTAGGTCCAGCAGTTCTTCTCTGCTTTATAGGGAAGGACACATCATCTGCATAATTATTAAAATTTATTTTAAATAATTAGACCACAACTGAAAAATTGGGAGAGAAGTATACCAAAATTGTTGTAGAATGAACACTTTCTAAATGACTTTTGCTTAAACTTCGTTATACTTAGTAAAGGTCAAAATATGCATGTTTACGAGAAATATTCTGTACATCAGAATAATCTGCTAAAATGTACACACATAAATTGTGACAGTGTGTATTTTTTATTGCCTGCTTTATGATGTATTTAAATAACACATAAAGGAAAGTAGCTTTTTGTGTGGCTTCCAAGCCTTGTACAAAGTAGGCTCCACAACGTTTGGGGTCAGAATCCAAGCCAGCCTCCTTCAACACAGATGGAGAAATGCTCATCGATTCCACTAGGAATTGAACTCAACCTGAAAGGAGGCTTTGGCAACTGTCTCTAAATCAATGGAGATGTCTGTCTCTGCAGTGTGCCTTCTTCTGTGGGAGATGTATAGAAATACAGTGATTATTAATTTTTTTTTTAGCCAGAGACTCTTAAAAACAAAACTAGCAAAATTCATATAAAAGAACAGTAAGGAAACAGTGAGAAAGATCATGTGCCACATGCTCTAGCTGTAATAAGTAACGAATGAAACTGGAACAATTATAGTTTTCATTAACTGAAAAAAAAAGATTAGGAGCCTAGGTTATCTGAGTATAATTACAGTATAATTGTTGACATTATGTAGCAATATTCTATCAACGCATGTAAACAGTGCCCATCTTTTGCACCCATACTGTTGTAGAATTTTAAATTCAGTCTTGTGTTTTATGTGATTCAGTCAGTTTTGGTTTAAAAAAACAAACCTAATTTGACTGCAGCCAAGAAGGATGTTTGACATTTCTTACCGTTCATTCATTTTAGAAAATCAGCCAGCTGGAAAAACTGCTTTTTATGGTATTCGGTAAAGGAAAAACTGAGTTACAGAATTATCATGTCAGAATTTCCTGCAGGATAAATGAAAATTAAATAAAAGTTCATAAGTGATTTGATTACTAATTCTGAGATTTACAAACTACCTGGCAGCTGTTCCAGTGTGGGAAGTGATAGGACCAGCAGTGCTTGTTGCCTTATTTTCGGTGAAAACAAGTTCTCCTTGTGTAAATGATGTGACCAGTCCATCTTGGGATGGGGGAGGTTGCCAGGCTAGTTTTTTGCTGTCATTCATTATTGTTTTCATGCTATCCTCCGTAAAGAAAAAAAATCCTGATTCAATAGGAATCTTTCCAAACTGGGATGCCAGGGCTGAGTTTCCTCAGTTCCAGATGCTTTGTCAGAATCGTAGTTCCCTGAGAGCTGGAACTCATGCATACCTGTGGAAGCAGATGAAAGAATCTGAATAAAAATAAGATACTGAATTACTTCTGCTGGTACATGCCTGAAAAAAATCATCAAAGGTTATTATAATTATGACTGTTATTAGATATCGTGTCTGGTTTCTGCATATTTAAATTCTTTCTGAGAGAGGTGAAACTTAGGCACTTAGAGATCCCAGGGGAATAATTGCAGAAATGATGACATATTCCACTTCTTGAACAAATTTCAATACCAAAGCTGCATTCTGCGTACTTACATTTCTTCTTAATTATATTTGGATGCAGGGTAGATAGTTATTTTCTGTCTTACAAATGCATGTAGCCAATTAGTCTTGTAGATCATGGATACCCAATGGCCTAACTCATTAAATGGAATTTTCCTTTTCTGTTGTTACGGCAAAAGAGTCTGCAAATCGCTGAATATCGTCTTTCTCTGTGAGCTCAGCCTTGGCCAAGGCTATAAACCCAGTAACTTGAGCAAGTGAAGAATTACTGGTTTTACCTGTACTCCTTAAAGTATGCCATCTTTGTCTTGTGATTGTGTGTATGTATGTATGTATTGTAAATTGGTATAGGCTGTTCGGCTCCTCTGCACTTCTGGTACTCAATTTTAATACCACAGTTTTGATGTGATGTGATGACTCTAGTCTTCCTGATTTCCTCCCATTCCTGAGAAGTTCTGAGCCCAGAAGCTTCATCTGGCCCACTGAGACATGGAGACCTGAGCTCTTTTTGCTCATGGAAGCAAAGATAAGAAAAACTGGCTATGTGTCTCTGAAGAAACCACTGCTTATATCAAATGATCAAACCCAGGTGTTCTTTTCTTCTTCCCTCTAATTTTTTTTTATTATTATTTTTTGCATATCATGCTTGCCATTCTGTCATCTGAGAGTAGAAAGATAACACACGTAGCTTAGACTACTAATCACAGGGAGGATTCGTAGAGACAATGAAGGCGAAACATTATGACCAGAGAGAACCAGGGAACCACAAGACAATTGTGAAATGAATTACAGACCCAGTATTGCATTGAGCCAGTTTTGCTAAGTTATGGTATTGGTACATAATGGATACAATATGAGGACATGACTTGGTGATTGGCCTTGGTGCTTTTCAGTCATAGCGTGTTTCCCCAAGGGTGAGTGTGGCTTATCTAACATTTTGTCCTCCTCTTTTTCATAATATTGCGTGACATCTGAGACTTTAGTACTGTAGTACAGCAGATAGTGGGTTGTGATTTTAAAAGCTATGGTCTCAAATATTATAGAAATAACAAAGCGTATCCGTTCAGGGGAAATGTTCCCTGTAATCTTACTACTGGCGTAGTTATCTCCAGTGCCTTCTTGACATGTATTTGCAAAACTCCTCCGGGGATTTGAATTGAATAACTGTTTTCTTGAAAGAAAAAAACACTTTACTGTTTTGGGGAATGGTAAGCAGTTACACTGGATTTAGGTTACTAAAATTTTGAGTATGTTGCGTCTGTTGTTATTTGTAATTGCAGACTTCCCAAAGAAACACAAACGGAAACTTTAAATGTGCTATAAACAGCTCTTAAACACCTCTTAAAAGTATGCAAAACTATACATCTTTTCTACTATTAGGATTCTGTTACTGGGTCTGTAACTCAGGGCTTGTGCCCCTTCTGCGGCGTACCCCACGCTTGTGGTCCTTGGGAATTAACTCTAACTGCCTTTGGGGAGGTGAGCTGCGCACTCGCTGTCTCCCCTGCTCTCCAGGGTTTACTTTGGGAATACTCCGGGTACAGGCACAGGGAAGGGAAGGCCAGGCCAGAGTTATTCCATGAAGTCTTTCTGTTTGGCGAGTGGAGAATTATATATGTATCGTGTGTGTGTGTGTATATATATATACTGTAACATAGATGTGATATTGCTGTTCTTCTTCATGCTCTTTTTTCTGCCATAGAATGTTGGAGAAAATCCTAATCTTCTCTTTTACTGCTTGTACCTTAAAGAATCAAAACATTATTATCTGATCTGCATCTTCTTGCTAATTTACATGGACCTTATAATGGCGGTGTTAAAACTTCTACGTAACAGTTGCCACTAGGATGTTGTGGAAGTCTTTCAGGAATGGGGGAGGGTCTTGAATGCAGCTTTGCTCACAGATATTAAAAGTTTGAAGTAAAATGCGAAACCATTTTTGATTCTCAAAATAGTGGCAGCAATAGAAGCAGTGAGTAAATTTAACTTGCTAGACAGTTGTAATTTGCAGAATGCATTTGTCAAATAGTTTGGAAAGAATCCAGGGCATATTTAGGTGAAAAGAAATAGAGATGGGCTCAGACTAAAAATGTGAGCTAAATGTCCTCCAAGGTTTGCAGAAATTTGACTGTTAACTTAATTACACAACTCAGTAATAGACAAAATCAAAAAGTATTGTGCAGGGGATTTTGAACTTTGGGGAAATTCAGATTTTGTTGCATATCTACTTGGCAGCTAAATGCAACTGGTTTGTCTTCCATTTAACTAATTGTAAAACTGGTGCTTCTTTTAAACTGTGTTAGTGCATTTGAAAGTTGGGAGGTATAACTGATACACGGGGCTTTTTAGCCTTTATTTGGCCTTTAATATCGCTGTGTCTGTGAGTTGTTAAAAACTCTTCTTCATCGAGTCTTTGTAATATGCAGTGTTGACTCCACTATCATGGAAATCAACATGATCTCATGAGTACAGCTTAGTAAAATTACCAAGAAGGAATAAAGAGATGCCCTATCATTGTAAATAACAAGGGTGGCTTTAAAAAAAAAGAAGGCAAATAGATGAGCTTAATGGCATCTAGAAGTTGTGCGGTTCCCTGCTTCTCTCAGATGCTGATAATTGTTTTATTTGTCATAGGGCTGGGGGAGGGAGAGGAGCTGTTACCCTTTTGGTGATTGATTGCAGAATTTTATGCTGAAGGGGAGTTTTTTCATTAGTTGGATGAAGCCGTAACGGACTCTGTGCACATCTGACATTATTCGTTATTGTGTTAATAAGTAAAAATTGGTTTATATTTCTAACTGGATTTTCATGTTAAGCCATTACAGTACCACAGTTCTAGCTCTCAGTTCTGACTTTTAACCTGCTAAGTTTTAGACAGTTTGAACTAGGGCTTTCTCTGCCACGCTTTCTTGCTGACACAGAATTTCGTCAGAGAATTTGATTATTTCTGCTAAGAGTGTTTGTTTGTAGTTGCAGCTTTCTTCTGAGTATAATTCATTATTTTTGTTTTCTGAGTCATCTCTCTTGTCTTTTATTTTCCAGGTTGGTGAGAGGCAGCAGGTTCTGGTAACAGAAGAATCCTTTGATTCCAATTACTATGTTGCTCACAATCCTTTCTATGAGCAGGTATGGTTAAATAAACAAAATAACATCTTTTTGTTTTATCTTTGCTTTCTGATAATCTCAGCAACACAGTGTGCCACAGTGCAAAAAACAAGTAAAGAAATAAGAACATTTTCCAGGAAAGGTGTGACCATCAAGACTTGTTTATGAGATATTTTGTTTCTGTGTTGTAAATACAATTCACCTGAAAGTATGTTAAGAAATACACAGTGGCTCTTTGAGTATACAGCCCAAGGAAGATACATGCTGTATATCCAAATAACATTGTTTAAATGGTTTAAGAAGCTTGCAGTAATTTTAATTTCTGTGTCTCCAAAGCATTGTTTTCTCAATAGTTGAATCTTGATAATTTCCATACATCTTTCAGAAAATCCTTTCAGACAATGCGATTTGCAAAAAAGATAATTTCAAGCAATAAGAAGGGTCAGAAGCTTCTTTAGATTAACAGTCAGCCTGATATGTTGTATTTCCTTCTATGTACTTTCTATAAATGAATTCTTTCCACACAGAAACATTATCGTTGAGCTAGGAAGGAAGTACAGCATCTATTTCACAAAATTATTATTTTTGCTCAAAAGCAGATGACTTGCTGAAAACCAATAAAATTGGCTTTTCTGAATCATCATGATTTCATTCTGGTTTTGCCTTTGGCTTGTTGTCCATTTTCTTGCACTGAGCTGTCTACAGTTTGCTTTTGCTAACTTTAGTTATTCAGTTGTCTGAACCTGGAGAGGCTATTGATGAGGGGTGTGCTTATGTAGTCACCAATAGTGCTTTCTTCCAGTTCCGGGTTATGTTACAGCATTTATTTGTTTATTCTTGCTTAGTAGTAAGTAACATTACTGCTCTTGAAATATCTGTTTCTGTTAGATATCTGGTTCACTAATTATTTTTTTCTCCATTTCTTTTTTTTTTTTTTTTTGATAAATCTCTTTTTTTTTATTGTTACATCTCTGACCTCTGTCTAAGTCTTACATATCGCTGTTCCTTGCTTTTGTAGCTTATCAGTCAGACTTGAGGAGCATGGTTTTCCATATAGAGATTAAAAAGAAATTGCTTGGGGCTTTTTAGTGTTCAATGCTTGTTTTATGGAAATTTCATTAATTAAAGGAGAAGCAGTATGTGCAAAAAAATAAAAGTGTTGATGTTTTATGGGGTGTTTGTACAGCACCTCATACAGCTCCTGACTGGGACTAGTAAAAAATATACGAAATAAAATAATAACATAGGGAGTAATTTTAAATTTTATTATGGAAGAAATACTTCCCATTATTAAACTGTATGTCTTTTCCCTCAAATCTTATGTGTGGCATGTGTGACGTGTGACAAGGGTAAGCACAAGATTTGGTACTAGTGACTAACTTTAATAGCAGTAAATTTAATGATAGTAAATTGAAAACCACTCTTGAGTCACTAAATGTCATATTACGCTTTGGAAGCTGAAGCTCAAAGTCCTGGTGTAATGTTCTGTTAACTCAAATAGTTATCAAACCTATTGTCTCTTCACTAAGCTCATCTATATTAAAAGAGTTTGCTATTAAAGCCACATCAGTAGAGCTACACTGACAGACACCCTGGTAGAACTGGAGACTTTGGTGATGTAGTTTAAGATAGTTCATTGAACACAGTAGTCTAAACTGACCAAAGGGTACTTTACCAGAACAATGGTCAAGGTGAGGGTTTCTGTTGGTATAACATTTCTTAGAAATACGGTTGTGGATTTTTTCCTAACAGATACTTATATCAGAAAAATGTATGAGTGCAAGCCAAGCCTGGCTGCTTGGTTGTTTACACTGCCTCCCAGATGTTTTCATTTAGCCTCTTTCTTTTTCTGAAGTAGTAGTCACTTACCCATGTCTGTCCCTGAGGTTTTGTATTTAGTTACTGCCATTTCACATATGGAGATACCAAGATTTAGAGAGGTCACAGGCCCAGTGATACTTAGTTACCTGATTCTCCTTAGATTTAAATTTGCCTGGGATGAATTATGTGGCAAGAACTGTGATCTAATCGCATTGTAATACTGTCTCAGCATTAGGGTCTTGCTTTGTGTTTGTTGTTTTGTGTTGCTTTGTGTTTGCAACTTAGTTCCAATTAGTCGCAACTTGCCCATCTCTGAAAGGCAAAGATGCTGGCTTTTCTTGGAAGATGCTTAGGAAGCTCAGCAGAATCCTAGGATCTGGAAACTCCTACAGTCATGAACACCTTGAGCCTTCAGGAAGAAGCGAAACTACTAGTGACAATTTCCTCCAAGTGGGCCAACCAACACTTGTGATAGGTAAAAATGGAGAGGCACTGTTTGGCAACAAAATGCTCTCCAAATGTGGTTGGCACAGAGTTTTCCTCTGAAAATCCTCTGCGCATGTTGTCTAAAAATCAAGTCATTTTAAGGCATTTCAATTTCAGCATCCAAAAATCAAGATATATGTATTTGCTCATCACCTTTGAAAAGCTTGCATTTGTGTGTAGATGAGCTTCAAGTAAATGTGATTAAATAAGTCCCTGTGATTCAGGTTTTCATTGTTTAATCAGGAAATTACTCTGCTTTTCTTTTTTAACTCCTTCTCTATTTTTAGAGCCCTTTTATGCCGTTTGTTCTTCCAGCAAAAAATGTTGCTCCTATATGTTGGGCTCTTTCTTTTCTAATATGCATGACCTCGGAACATCTGTTATGTGGTGTCTTTTTTGTGAAGTTCTTATGGGACTGTTTGATATCATGGTTGTGCAAATTCAGGAAAGGGTGGCATTAGTTGCTGACCCAAGAAACACAATCATCCATTTTTACAGGCATTCATTGTCAATCATGCATCTCAGCTGCAAAGGACCTGCACAATCAAAATAGGGGCTTGTGCAAACAGAAACAAGGGCATAATTTCTGTCCTGAAGCATTTACAGACTCAAAAACATTTAAAAAAAAAAAGTATCATGGGGTAGATATGAAAATAGGAAGCTTTACAGCAGTCTGTTAGAATTGTGTAGCACAAGTGCCCTTAGGAACTGTTTGGGTCTGGATTCAAATGTTGCATCTCAGGCTCAGCTTTCTCATCAATCAAAAAACATGACTCATGGAATTGGTTGGAGTTGAAAAGAGCTGAGCTAACACTGCAAAGCTCTTAAAGAATGCAAGCTGGAGATGTTACTGGTCAAGTGTGTCAGGGCTATAGTATATGCTGGTGACTAAAATTTTAGGATTTGCTTTGATGTTTATCAAAAATCTGTTTTCTGAGTGGAACCTGGAGACACTGATGTCCTTTGTGGTATTTAGTAACTATGTCTTTGTCTTTATTTGAAAGGTTCTTGTGCCAAAGGATCCTCTGTTAATGGGTAAGATGGTAGAAGTGAGTATTTATGAAGCTGGGAAACATTTTATGAAGGGGCAACCAGTGTCAAATGCCAGAGTTTACACTGCATCCATCACCAGACCGTTAGCAAAAGGAGAAGTTTCTGGTTTAACAGAGGTGAGTAAAAGGCATTTTCTGCTTTACTACACTGGTGAAACAGCAGCTGTTTGAGCATAATGATTACATGCTATGTATCTGTTATCATTTTATAGTTCCCCCTTTATGTATGCATGAAGCTTTAATCTTTCCTGACAGGTTGAAATCTGAATTTAAAAGATGTTTTTGCTGATGCCCATAGCTTTACTTTGCTGACTGTGAAGGCAATAATACACTTGTTTCTTGTTCCAGGGTGCAGGATAAGGAAAGAATTTATTACAACTGAAAAGATTTAACACCAGTGATTATATAATTCAATGTATTTCAGTTCTAGTTTAGTGGAAGGATGAATCTGTTTATTTTGCTTTACAAAACTGGTTTTAAAATGTGTATTGATTACATGTCTGTTAAAACAGGTCAAAATTGGGTTCAGAGATTCAAAATTAATTGATGGGTAGAGGTATGGAATATTTGCAATATATTTTGGAAAAAGGTCAACATCTGATTTAGTCATGTGAAGAAAATGAAAATCTTTTAAAAAGAGATCTGATCCTTATTTTACACCTCACCAGATATGGCTGTTAGCCAAGTATTCTCATACATTTCATGGAGCTCTAGTTGTAAAAACTGATGGAGTGTGAAATGAAAATGTGTATCACATTTCTAAGCATCATTTGATGTCCTTTCTCCAGCACTGTTGTTAGGATCTCCAAAAATATGTAGCAATAATTTAGCACATGGAAGAAGGATAATTGGCAGTTTATCAGCCACCTTGCTGCTTTTACAGTAAATTGTTGACAAGTATTAAAGTATATATGCATCCTTGTTAAAGTTCTAAGCAGTCATATTTAAAAGAAATAATCAATGCATACCTTATATGACTAGTGTTAAGCTAAGCTACTTGGTCTCTTGAATAAACCTGCCTATGGAAACAGAGCAACAAAAATGCACCTACTGTAATGTGTTTAGCAGATCATGAAACTTAAGCACAAACACATTGCTAAACCCTCCTTTGAATACTGTCTGTGTGTATGTGTATATCGGCCTGATAAGGGTCTGTAAGAGGAAAACACAGCCAAAACCCTCAAATTGTCTGACTGGACTATGTAGCTATTTAAACACATCTGGTTTTTTCATCGGAACATTTTTTTTAATAATCTGCTGGAACAGAACCAAGCCTGTCATTAAACTGAGTACGTGCTGCCAGAAGCTTGTAGCATGGGAACAAGCAAGCAGACTGTTGACTGAAATTTTGCATGTTAAAAATGAGAGATAAAATTATTAAAATCGAGGATATTGATAATTTCTGTAAGAACTCATTGAGATATATAGATCTGCTCCTGTCCTTTGAGTAGATATGAAGAAGTACCTGGAATGCCCAAGTAAATGGCTACATCAAGCAAATGATAAAGCAAACTGCTTTTCATTACTTTTGTGGCTGCCAGTTCCCCCTTCAAGGATGTATCTTATTTGTGTTTCGTCCGCTGGACATGTTAGGAACTTTCACTTTCTGGAAATAACTAGACTCAATACTTCGGTAAATGGAACAACTTTTGTACAGGGAAGCTACAGCTGAAAGCTTTTAGTCACACTTGGCCAATGTATAATACATGGAATGTGAACTGAAATTGTTAGTGGGAAGTTCCTCCTGACAAATCATATGTAAGTGGCAAATCAGGACCTTTCTTTAGGTTCCCAGGAAAAAAAGTCAGTTTGTCACAAAAGTCACCATTGGTTTTTGGCTGGGTGAAAGATGCCCTTTACGTTGTTTTGTATGGTTGGACTGCTGGGAAGCGTTTCCTGCTAGATGTGCTCGAGACGTAATTCTAACCTAAGATGCTTATGAGCAAGATAAAAGGGGAAACATATGTCATATGACCATTTATATAGCTTGTGTGCACAGGTAGCAGGTTGAGGAAAGGAGACAACTCAGAACATATGGTATTCAGATACTCCCTCAAAGGTAGCCAGAGATCTTGGATCTTCAACAAGATCCCAAGGGTCTCCACCAGATTTTCAAAAGAGTAGCATGCAGAACTAGAACCTTGGATAACTTTTATGTCAAGTCAAGCTATCAAACTATACCATGGAGAGAAGGAAGAGTTACCTAAAATAGGTTATAAAAGCAAAAAATGAAAACACCTGTGGCCCTTTCACTTCCTCCTTCCCCCTTCACCCACAAATAAGCAAGAATTAGGGCCTCCTTTACATTCTCAGGCTTGAAAGGATGGGTAGCCAGCTGGCAGGTGGCTCTCTGAAGACCGGGCGCATTTCTATTGCTCAGCACGGCTGTCCTCTGGGCAGAAGCTCTTTTAGGCACCAACCAGCACCCTGTAGCTGGCGTGCTATCTGAAATGCTCAGTAACATTTTAGTGGACCTCCAGTCTCACCCTGTCAGTGATATGACTTCCTCTCAACTCCTTTGTGTTTGCTGGTCCATGATGAGATCTAGTTCAGAGAAGTACGCAAATTTAAATGTAGATCAAGGTAATATAGATCAAAAGAATGTGATAATGGCCTGCACTGCAGTAAAACATTTATATGCTTCGGTCCATTCCTATTCAACAAAGCACTTGGCTCTTTCCTAATGACCATGTAAATTAGTGGGGGTGCAGTGCACTCCTTACAGTTCAGCATGTTGCACAAGTCCTATGATGAAGAGGAGTAGATTGCTGAGTCAGGGCTGTAACATGGTTGTAGACAGTCTGCAGCAGTTAAAAAGATGCTATTTTTGTAGTGTATCCTGCGCATCACTTGCTACTATTAATAGTATTTTCATTAGCTTGCACAGGACACAATAAAAGATGTTTCAAAATACATCACAGCTGTACTTCTCTCTAATGAGGAACGTTCACAGAAAGAATGAAAATTTTCAAAACTGTACAGTTTTCAAGAAAATTAATCATATGGCTAAAAAGAACAAGTTATAAAGTTTGAGAGCACCATAATATGAGGATGTCAAAGCAAGCCACAAACCCACCCTAAGAAAGAAGAAACTTCTATAAATGCTGTGATGAAGAATACCTCCAAAGGATCAGAGCTTATCTACAGTTGTGTTCTCTTTCTCATCTGCTGCATGTCCCTCAATAATTTTTTCTTTCAAGTTCAGAGGGAGCACCACAACCAACATGGTGTGTTTGAAGAAACAATTGTAAGCCTTTTTTTTTTTTACCCTTTTGACCGCATGACTGGGGTGACAAATTGGTCCAAAGAAGTACAAGAAGTAGGTGACCAAGTGGAATCAACAAATTTGACTGGAAAAGAGGGAAAGCAAAATGTCACACAAAGGACAATTTACAGACTCAATAAAATATTCACACATTGTATGTCTGTGCAGCAGACAAATATTGATAGAATTAATTCAGGATATTTCTAGCATGTCTTTTTCTCATGCTTTTTCAATGTATGAAAACCACGCCTAATACGTATATCCATTAATGTATTAATGATGTAGAATTTCTTAGTAGTTATTATATTCTCTAACAGAAAAACTGCAACTACTTAGATGGGCTTAGAATAAGGTCTTGGCATTCAATAACATTAGGTTCTGTGACAGAAGTTGGGACAGGAAGGACAGAGGAGTGTTGGAGTCAGCGGCTGTCCTGGTTTTGGCTGGGATAGAGTTAATTTTCTTCCTAGTAGCAGGCATAGTGCTGTGTTTGGGATTTAGGATGAGAAGAATGCTGATAACACACTGATGTTTTAGTTGTTGCTAAGTACTGCTTATGCTAGTCAAGGGCTTTTCAGCTTCCCATGCTCTGCCAGGTGCACAAGAAACTGGGAGGGGGCACAGCCAGAATAGTTGATCCAAACTGACCAAAGGGCTATTCCATACCATATGATGTCATGCTCAGTATATAACCTTGGGGGGGGTCAGCCAGGGAGCAGCGATCGCTGCTCGGGAACTGTCTGGGTA